AACTGGTCCCACCTGACGAACGGGAAAAAGAGTGAGGAGGTAGGTCTCTGGGTGTAGGAGCTCTCTGAGCCAGTGCTGGAACCCAGGAGCCCAGAGAAATCAACCCATCCCAAATCCCCAACACTTTGCTTACCACATTATAAGGAAAGAAGATTTAAATAGCACATCTAAGTAATCTCATCCTTACCTGCTGTCGTTCCACTGGTACACCCTGGATTATACTGTCGCTTATATGGTCCACAAGGACAAGAGATGGGGGCGTATGGATTTCCTGTCCTTCACAACTGAGCAACACCACCCAGGGACACAGACTTCACCAGTTCACCTAGAGGTCCATCAACTGCCATCTGCTGCTTTAAAAACTATTCAAAAACAAGATAGGTTGTCCTCAAACAGCTTACCTGGGCTTCTGTCTTCTCAGACAGAAATCTTCCTTCTCCTGGCAGTCATCAGAAACCTAACAAGGGAGCACAAGCCTTGCTATCTGCTCCCATGCTCCCTGCGTTTGGATCACAACATGCATCATAACATTTTGATTTGCCCACTGCATTTGTTTTCATAGAGACCTGCACACTGTTCCAGAGGGGACATTCCAGGAGAACCTCCGGGGATCCAGACATGGACGCAGACGTAATCACCAGCACAGGAGAACCAAAGGGAACATTCACAGCAATTACCCAAATTCTTCTTCTTTGCATTACTCTAAATATTCATCTAAGCAACTCTCATTTAAGAAAGGCTTTAATAGAACCAAGATGCTTTCATGGGCCTGTACATAACACACACACACCCCAGATCCAACCCCACAAAACGGCCTCAGAGCTTGTGTTTACAGCCTGCAGAGAACGGTAGGCTGTTTACTAAAAGGATTAGATAAGGCTTGACAAAGATGTAGGAAGGTGGGCATGCTGTGCCTTAGAAAGCTTTTGCAATACAGAACCCCAAACATCCCTGTAGGCACTTTCAGTCAGAAAAGAAGGGGGGGAAAAATTGCAAACAGGTTTGGCAGAGCACTTTGGCCACAGCTGGGTGGAGAGCAAAATTACCCAAGAGTAACAGGTCAGCAGTGGGGCCGAGGCACCCCTGAACGGCTGTGCTTTTACTGGCGAGATCTGTGGGACTCTCTCAAAATAGATGCTTTCTCCTTTTATCTCAGGGAGAAAATAATCCTTAAAACATGCTGCTGGCTTCTCCTCCCACTTTTCCTGCGGAAGGGAAAGCTGCTTTTCTGGGTTTGGTGAGGACAAGAAGCTCACCTGCTCTCCAAGGCTGCCCGGCACTTCGAGCAGGAGCCCAATTCTTCCCCCTTTGGAGAGGACCGCGACGCTGCCACCCGGCAGACGCCCACACCGTCGGCCTCCAGACCTCTGAGAAAACCAGGACGCAGTAGCGTTACTTGTAGGGCACCTACTGCAAGGACCTTCCTTGATACGGAAAACCGTCATGGGGTCGAGGCACACCTTTTCTTTCATAATCAATTTGGTCAGACAGCCTGTCTCACCCCGGGCTACAACCAGCTGCCCTGAGATCCGTTCCTAACACACCTCCTTTGCGCTCTGAAGCTAAACAGCTCCTACACTTCTGCTTGCCCAAACACTGGGCTCTGGAGATGGCGGTCACAGCGGTGGCGATGGGGACTGCCATTATCAGCATTTTCAAACAGATACGCAAGCAGAGCTCTGCTCCTCAGAGTACTTCCAGAGTAGGCTGGGAGGTTCCTCATGAGTAGGGGAAAAAAAAAAAAAAAAAAAAAAGGAAAAAAAAAGGGGAAAAAAAAGAAATTTTTTTTTTTTTTGGGGAAAA